GCTCTGCTGCCCCGGGCGGAGCGGGCCGGGAGCGCCGCGGGAGAGCGTGTCCTCAGCACGGCCCTCCCCGAGTCTGGCCTTAGCGTGGTTGTACAGGGACTTGGCTTCTCTTCTACAGTTACTGCCTCGATGCTGCTGCTTTTTAATTATTGTTACTGTTACCATTTTTTATTTGTAATGTGGCCGCTTGCTTATTTTGCTACCCTTGGCCAGAGTTCTCTCATAAACTGGCTTTAAAGACGTTCTCGTTCTACCCGTTTCCCCCTCGCTCCTTTCTGAATGAGGGTCGCACTCCTCTGCTTGCTGCTTTCCCCTTTTTGCTGAGCTGTACGTAGCGTTCGCTTCAAAGTGAAATGATTGCTTGAAGTCATTTCAAGAAAAGTAACCAAAATGCTGTTTGTTCTTAGGCTGCCCTACGGCGCACAGATGTCATTCTAGAAGTAGGCCCGGGAACTGGTAACCTGACAGTAAAGATGTTAGAGAAAGTAAAAAAAGTAAGTGTGAATTTCCCCCCTCGCCTTTCCAGGCTCTAACCACCCTGTGGCTTAGACTGCGACAAACAGAAGGATCTTCATCTGCTTGATTCAAATAAGTAGAACTACTCTGTCAATGTTTTTATTAACATCTGCATAATTCCAGTGAGGTTTTAGCTGTTCATGTAAATCTGGTGGTGGTTTATCAAACTCTACTGCTGTTATCCATTTATGTGGCAAAGCTTGCATGTTTTCAGGGAAGAAGAAAGGTACATAAACCTAATAGGGAATTTCTGAGAATTATTTAAACCTGTAGGAGTAGATGCAGTCATTTTCTACAATGAAATTTTAATCCCAGTTAGGAGGAGTTGTAGAAAGTTGCAAATACATACTTTGTTTTCAGGTTATTGCTTGTGAAATTGACCCGAGACTTGTTGGTGAACTTCAGAAGAGAGTCCAGGGCACGTAAGTATCAACTGTGGAAACAGCTAGCAGTTAAAGCAGTGGAGCTGCTTTGGGAAAAACTTGGGCAACCTGCTTCTCTGAGGATAACTACAGTGTATTTTGGCCCAGGTGTCTGGCAAACAAGCTTGAAATCAAGGTTGGAGATATCTTGAAAACAGATCTGCCTTTCTTCGATGCATGTGTGGCTAACTTGCCTTACCAGGTATGGGCTAAACAACATGGCAACACTTTTTTTTTTTAAAAGGGCTATTTTTTAGCAATTATACTAATGCTATTACTCTTTTGCTCAGATTTCTTCACCTTTTGTTTTCAAGTTGTTGCTTCATAGACCTTTTTTCAGGTATGTGTAAGAACAAAGTTTTTAAAATGTTAGTTTTAAAAATGTTACCAAATCAGATTTTTTAAGTTCTTAAAATAGCAGTTTGGTGGATCAGAGCCACAGCAGATTTTTTTCTGTGATATGAAACCTGCCAGTGCCTGGAAATTATGTCAAGGTACTAAGCAGAACAAGAAAATTTAGTCTTGGAATCAGTGAGTGTCTATCTGATGAAAATGAGTTGCGCCTCTTTATGCTAGCATTATACGTGATTGTATTCCAGCAAAAAAAACGTGGGGCATCACAGTACTTCAGATGTCTTTCTACCTGAGAAGGGACGGGGAGAAAGGGTAGCATCGAGTTGTCTGGTCTGAAAAAGTGATTGCCCAGGTACTTCTGTGTGTTGTTCCATGTGTCAGCAGTTCTTAATTTCTTTCACTGAAGTGCTAATGTTAGTGATGTTACCAGCCAACTTTTGGAGTTAGGCAGTTTGGATTTGAAGGATTCATCATAGAATTATTCAGAATCATTTGTTAACAGACAGGCACAAAACTCTGAGACTAGCCTCTGCCTCTTTGATCCTGATCCACTTAGGAGTGTAAAGAATCAAATGCTATTGTAGCTTTAAGCAGATACAGATTGTTTTACCAGATTTTGTGTCATTTTTAACACACTGTGAGCTAATCAAGGTAGAGTTTGCCTGTGACAAACTTGTGTTGCTTGTAAGTGCTGAGGCAAATACTGTTTTGCAAGTATTTCAGTTGGCTTTTGAACTAAAAGTTGGTTACTTAAAATTCGTTTTCTCATTTCTCTTATTCTCAGGTGTGCAATACTTATGTTTCAGAGGGAATTTGCACTTCGTTTGGTTGCAAAACCAGGAACTAAGCTATACTGCAGACTCTCTATTAATACTCAGTTATTAGCTCGAGTGGACCACCTGATGAAGGTATGTCATTCTGTTAGCTAACAGAGCTATCAAAGATAAAAAGTTTGTAGGAATGTGAGGATTTGCTGCTTATTCATACGGCTCCCTGACTAACAGGTGGGGAAAAACAACTTCAGGCCTCCTCCCAAAGTTGAATCCAGTGTTGTCAGAATAGAGCCAAAGAATCCACCGCCACCTATCAACTTCCAGGTAAGCATCATACGCTCTAGTAACAACAAAACCTACTAGTGATAGTAATTAATTTCATTTTCCTTGCCACTTGTTACCCAGTTCCATGTGTTGTTTTTGCTGCTAGGCACCAGCTATTTGTTGGCATTTATGTAATACCAAAATAACTATTCCTCTCTTGATCAGGCTCGCGTCAGGATGTTACCTTAACATGTCAACATCAGTTAGGGTGCAGCTTCTTTTACAATATTTCTAACAGGACTGAGGTACCATCTCCATGTCAGTTGGAGAATTGCTAGTAATCACGTCCCTTTCATCATGGTTTGCAACTGCCAGAGACCCTTGTCTGATGACCTTGTTGGTTATGATCAAAGGAGTATCTATGAGAAGTCTTTATCTTCAGATAAGTGTGTATAATCTCAGAAGACAGATGTTACAGGGTAGTATTCTTAAATTTAATTTTTAAAATGCTTTCATCTTCAAGACCATTTCAGCTTTGACCAAGGTTAGCTAGATTTTCTTCAAGTTTCTGCTTTCTCAGTACACAGGCACAAAAACGAACAATTGAAAGGTTTTCATGGATTTTCTCCCCCTTTTGTATTGCTTTCACCAAAACGACTGGGTTTACAGTGTTTAGAAAGATATTTTCCTGAAATACTTTTGTGTTCAGTGCTGTTATGAAATTGTCAGTAGTAACTGTTCTTGTTTGTAGTAGCTGTGTATGTTCCTTTCTGTAAATTCTGAAATTTTTCATTTCAGGAGTGGGATGGTCTGGTAAGGATAGCCTTTGTTAGGAAAAACAAGACGCTTTCTGCAGCATTTAAGTAAGTAATGTCTACTAGGTAGTCTTTTCAGAGTTTAAGAACCACTGAGTTAACCATTTTTTTGTGCAAAAGTGTAGCACTGTGATACACGTGCCAGCACAGTCTGGGATAAACCATGATAGAGGATTTGTGCTGAGGTCACAAGCTTTTTGTTTTAGAGGAAAACCAGACAGCTGTTTAAAAAGAACAGCTCTGTGTAGTCACTACAGTTTTTTATAGCCGAGATTAACAACCTATCAATTAAAAAAAAAAAATTCCCAACAACCTAGTTAAAGCTCAGTTTTCATTCTAAACTTGTATTTCTTTCAGGTCAAGTGCTGTAGAGCAGTTGCTGGATCACAATTACCGAATTCATTGTTCCTTACATAACACTGTAAGTTCCTTTTTAATATATTAAATTCTATTTTTGTGTACTATGACCTACTTCTAAGAGTAAAAAATTAACATTGAAAAGCTTATTAACCTGTTGAAGTTTTTCCAATAGTTTGAGGCAGGGAGGAACTTGCCTCCTTTCTTAAAAGGGTCACTAAATTACAGTGAAAAAGCTTAAAGCTGAGTATGTTATAAATATATTTGCTGTATGTGTGTCAAGAACTTTGATTAATCTACTAAGAAAACTTTTTGCGTCTGCTTAGCAATATCGTTGTGATTCATTTATACTGAATGAGCTGAGGTATAAAAATTCAGATAGACTACAATAATCCGTACAAGAAAAAATACAAGTTCTTTCAATCATTTGAAGCCAGAACTGTTTTAAAAGCATGAAAGGAATAAATTATTTTTAAAAACCCTTTTTCTATGCTATGAATACAAAATGAATTTGTATCCATTTTCAATTGACAGGAAATACCTGAAAACTTCAAAATTGCAGAGAAAATACAGGCTGTCCTAAAAAATACAGGTTATTCTGAAAAACGAGCCCGTTCAATGGATATAGATGATTTCATCAGGTATTTTTTTGTCTTCATGCCTTGCTTTTCAGCATCTTCAAAGTCTGTCTGCATCTGTACCTGTGTAGCACAGATTATTATTAGATAACACAGGAATAGTACTAGCTCTTATTTTCGTCTCAATACCAGATACTCCTTGTTTCTAGTCTTGAATGTGAACAAACACTTCAAACCTATATATATATATTTTAACTGCAGCTTACAGTATTGAGAAGCAACTGGTAAAGATCTCTGTATCTGGTGTTTGTGTACTGCACCATTCTGTCTCATCTAAAAATGGCTTTAGTAACAGAATTGTTTATAATTTCCCTGGAGACTTAAACAGCCCTTCTCTGTCTGTCTTGAGGATTAAGCTATAGCCTGTAGCATAATTTGCAAATTTGAGTAATTAACTGCTATATTCTGCTCTTTCTTCTGGTCAGTTAATTTAAGTGGCAGTGTGAATGCTCTCCTAATTTAAGATAAAAATTCCTAGCTGTTTCTGTGTGACAATTAATACAGCTACTGCTCCTTCAAGAAATGTAGTGAACATGGTAGGATGCAGTGTAACTGCACTGAGAATATGCCTGCATGTCTAAAATGCCAAATTTGCTAAGAACTTCTAGTTTAAGAATCATAACAATTCTTCGTGGCAGATGAACAGTGGTGGCTGTTTTCATGTTATTTTTATGTGTTATTTGCCCGTTGCCATGTCTTAGAATGCCTTAAACTGAAATACAAGTTGGTAGAGATTGTAACATAAGTATTTCGTTTTTTCAGGCTACTACATGGCTTCAATTCAGAAGGCATCCATTTCTCATAGATTTTGCTAGAAGAACAAAAGATGTTCTGTATTTTGTCACCAAAGTGACTGCAGTGGGACAAGCTCTTCTCACAAAAGCAATGGACAGAATACAGCATACACACTCTGGCTCGTATTAAAACCGTACATGCAGTTTTATCAGATAGCAGGCAAGAAGCTCCTGCTCTGTGTTTTCAAAGCTATAAATTCTTCCACGACTGAAGTGGGATGCTGGACTTCAACAGGACAGTGTATTTTCACATATAACCAGTAACACAGACTGTTGCAGCCATGTTTTGAAATCTGTGTTCTCTGATCATGGACTTCACCTTGGTACATTCTTCCAGAACACTCTCTTCCACCAGTACAACCCCGAAGTCTCGCCTTCGCAACAAAAAGAGAGTTGTGGTCATTCCATTTGTTTGGCTTTTTAATTTGTTTTAATGTGTATTTATACACATTCTTTTGATTTGAAATAGCCATCCCTTATACTTGTCCGCTGGTAGCTACCCACGTTCCAGTTCTGTTAGTAATCTGTTGCTTTTGGAGGAATCCCAGTAACTATTTCTCAGAAACAAGCATTTGTGTACCTTGTGGGCTTGGTATCATTTACAAAAGCATTTATGGCTGTACCCAAAACCACCAGTGTCATCTCCTTTACACCCTCCTTATTGCCATCAAACCACTGCAGGAAGGACCCAAAAACTATCAAAGAGCTCTTAAGTGCTCTTAAGAACTTTAGACAGAATTTTTCTTTTGTCAACTGTGAAGTGAAGCAGCTATTTTTATAACAAAAGTAATTCATCCTTCAAAGCAAAGAGGAGTTTTAGCACAGATCAAAACTTTGGAGTCCTGGAGCAATGCATGCCTATGTCCTGACAAAAAGACTTTGTGAAGTGTCTTAAAGGACAAGGCAGAGTTTTCCCAAAGAAGTCTGCATCAACTCCGTATCGCACCTGTCAAAAGAAAAACCCGCTCTGGTCTGTCTTGCAATTTAGGAAAACTATTAACTCTGTATCGTCATGCAGGAGTGAAGACATAACTGTTTTAACTGCTCTAAGTAATTTTTTCATGTATAGCATACCTCTTCCCCTAAGACCACAGTAAGTGGAGAAGAGGCGAATTAGCAAGAACTCCTCTAGGATATAACTTTTATTTTACACACATCCAATGTCAAATCTTTAGAAGTCACTGATGTAGAATCATGGATAGAAATAACCCACTTGAATTTGTAGGCATCCTGAGAGGTTGTTAAAGGAAACTGAACTGCTCGTTTAGTTTGTAATTTATGACTGTAGTGCTCCTTCACTGCGTATAGAATGAATTTATGAGTGAGGTAAGTAGCCACAGCAATATGCTCAGAATAATAGAGAAGGAACGCGTGCTGGAGATTTGTGTCCTACTTCCTAAATGCTCCTGTTTTACGGGGCAGGAATCAAGATAAGCTTGTCTGAGTCCTGTTCCATTAATTCCAGTCGATCACAGCAATGGGCTACAGGAATTCCAAGTGCTGTAACCAGCTCTATCAGTTTATCTTGATTCTCACTTTTTCAGTATCTGTGTAGACCTGACCTTCACAGCAGGCTCTGTCACAAAGACTGTCTCTTTACAGTCTCTGGTGCAGTAAACATGATTGCAGCTTACATCTGCTACCCAACAGGACACACGTCATTTACAAGGCTTAGTAAAAAGCTGTTGAAATCTAACTGCCTGTGTCCTCCAGGGTACCCGCTGTAATCCACAGCCTGGCTGTGGCTCTGGGCTTCCACAGAAGAACAGCAGGGAAGCTACTGTTTCTCATGCAGGATGTCTCAATCTTCAGAGGCTTTTTACAAAAGAAGATTTCTCTAAAGCAGCTTCAAAGAAATCCTCTGGCATTATACAATAACCTGCATTATCACCTGCTAACAAAAGCTGCTGCCTTGTATTTCATTGCTTTTTACTTTTAACTGTGATGGTGGTGGTTTTAAACATGCTCAGGAAGATGTGTTTAAGACTGCTGCAAAACTGAAGTCAGGGTGATGCTCCAGGGAACTTCTTCCTATATGATGAATTGTTATAGCAGACTTAGCTCCAAAAGCAGATACTCATTCAGAAATCAGAGGCCTTTTCAAAAGTGTAGCTCTGATGTGCTTACAAAGTAAAACCCTTCCCGAAGTACAACAGAACTTCCAAAGAGGTAAATTCTCATCTGTAATTCATTTAATAGCTTAATTTATTAAACACATTATGTAAAATCTACATTGTTTCAATTTTAATGTTTACACACAGGAAAAAAAATTTTACTTTTAACCATAATGTGACAAGAGTTTCCCATAGCCTACCTTCTATGGTAGATACAAACATTAAAACACTACAAGAATTCCTGGCTCATTTAACTCTCTTTTCATTGCTTTCCCTTTATTTCCCTCTAGGCCTGGCACAAACAAAGAGGCTTGTACTCCAAACGTAATTTTTAAACAGTTCCAAGGGAAAGTCTGCTGATAGGAACTCCTGGAAACAGGGAGAACTCCTAGAGAGGTCTACAGTTCTTCATTTGACAAGAAGGTCTTACATGAAAGGTCAATTTTTTTGGATAGTGACTTGCAAAAATAACTTGAGTGCCACCACCTAAAAAGTGCTGATACACATGGTGCCATTTATGAGAATTCAGGTACTTGTAGGATTTCTGTTAGTGCTAGGTAGAGGTATTGTGCAATATCCCCAAATGATCCAATTTCACCCCACTTTTCAGATGCTGGCACTGGGGGGAAAATAGGTATAAGCTACTTTTTTCTTTAAAAGCGACAGAGTTACTCAAACTACCTGCAAACTACAGTTAATGTACATGTAAGTTTCTCATGCATCAAAAGCCAACTTTTAACAGTACATAAAAGGCCAATATATATGTATTTAACTAGATCCCCAAAGTTTGACAGTTATCCTGTCTATATGCAGAGTTCAGATCATACCTGTACTCTGACAGTATTATTACACCACACCACATACTGTGTATCTGCATTGTCCTAAGATACAACTCTCCTCAGTACTTGAACATTATCTTTTATTACACATCGACTAATGCGTATTTTTTTCTGTTCTGTTTTTTATTACAGAGAAATGTTAGAATTATAATAACCATTCTTTATGGTGTTCAAATAAATCCAGACTCCAGATTTTCACACGGAGGATGGAATGTCCAGCTGTTTGTTCACTCTAACACCTCTTGCAGTTCCTGTTCAAATGATATGGCACATCCTGTGAAATGAAACTAGCCACAAAAAAGAAAAAAGTCTCGAAATACATTAAAATGTACACACACTAAAAGTAATTCATACTGACAAGTAAGGAATGTTGTTAAGGCTGTGCGTCAGAAAGAGGATGTTTAGGGTCGAGTAGCCTTCATCGAGGCACAGAATGGGAAGAGGTAAGCACAGCTGTCTGTATAAGAGAAGTTATGTACAACCACTAGTGAGGTGTGCATGCAAGCAAACACAATTTAAAACTGCACAGCTGGTCTTTGTAATAAACTGAATAAGGAAATACTGTGACTTTAATGGCCACAGTTTTACTTCATTATTAGAAACATGGCAAGTATTTCCAAACAAAAAAATCACAAATTGAATAAATGAAATATTTTAAACAAAGTGCTTCACAGATCTGAACCCTGCATGGTTGTGCTGTCTGGTCTAGAAGCATTTTGTAGACATATAGGAGCATTTCACACAAAATGTCGTTCAGGCGAGTAAGAAACAGGACATCTCCACAGACATTTCTAACGTTTGTACACTTTCAAGTAGTTTGAGTTCTTACGGCCACTGGGTAACAAATATGTGCTACAGCAGTACGGGTTCGTGGATTCTTTTACCAGCAGAGGGCCATTTCAAAGCGCACGTGGTCTTTTCGGGTTGATCTGTTTACTGGCTTGTTCTTCCTCTTGTAGAGCTGCTCGGAAAGATTTCACTTTATCTGTAATGAAAAAGAGAGAATGAGTGCTGCGCTCAACAGGATCTTGAAACTAAGCACTGATGCTCCACATCCTGGCTCTAATGCACAACAACGAACATTCCTCCACAAAAACAGCTGACACTACAAACTACAAGAGGATTGAGATAAGCTTAAATTCAATACTCACCACACAAAGAAGTTGCTTATCAACTCAACCCCTTCCTAGATGCTGCCCATGTCTCTAGGATGGATCGGTTTGGAAACTGTACAATTACATTCCCAGCATGTAGTCTGTTCACACTTAAATTCTGCTTTTAACTTACGGAGTGTAGGAAGATACACACCGTACATCATTTTCCTTCTCGGTATCTTCCAAACTGTCCTTACCAAAAAAACCTACACATTTTGTATTTGTATTTTGTATTTCTATGCAAAATTGTATTTAGTGTATAGTCAGTCACGTCTATACATTCTAAAACATGGCAGAGTAAGTTCTGCTCCCCTGTGTTCTGTGAATGTGAAAAGCATTTGTCATCAACTTCTGAAAGTTACTGACTGTAAACAGATAAATACATTCGTCTTTTATTTCATCACAACTGCAACAAGAATGGGAAAAACCTAAGAAAGGAAGTGTATATTGCTGTTCCTGTCCCCCTCCATTCCCCAGTAATATGCCCAAGAATGGGAAGAAGGAAACAAAAAGACAGCATAAAGATGTCAGTCCCAGAGTGACAATAAAAGGTGAAATATTCAGTAAACATAACATGCTATGAGCTAAACACAGAAAACACTGGGAGAAAGGATTTTTGACTTAATAGTTCTTCTCTCCTGTAAAGTTACACATGTATCATTCTGCCCATAAAGACACAAGAATTCCTTTAGATAGCTTTTACCTTCAGTATCTTGTTTCAAAAACAGTTTCTGAAGAAACAGGAGTCACCTAAACAGTGTTTTTTCACTGCTAGTGTCTCAGATCGTCTGCCTCTGAAGATGATGCCATCATCCGTAATCACAGAATGGCCTAAGCTGGAAGGGACCTTAGAGATCATTTTAATCCAGCCTCCATGCCACCAGGGACGCCACCTGTCGACTCG